GCCTGTGACTAATAGGGAAGCCTATGAAATGAAATAAAAGACATCAGTCAGTGCATTTGCATGGTAACCAAGCTGTATGCCAAAGGAGCCTTGTTTAAAAGCGAGCAATTGTAGACAAGATAATTCTAAGGTTGTCACTGTGGAGCATTTTTAAGTGGCTTATTAGCATGGAAGTAAAAGGACAGTGTCATTCTACATCTGTGGAGTTTATGAAGTTCCACTGACTACATCTGCAACCTGTCTGACCTTTTGTTGTGAAGTTACTCAGAGCTTCATTTTAGATCAGCTGTACTATGAAAATATTACTCTAAATGCTGTTTTAAAATATTTCATTGGCAGAAGGCTGGTTCACATCTGAGTTTGGAAGCAGGTGTCCTTCCCTTCTGCAGGATGTGCTGTGTTGGGGTTAATGTCTCTGTGATGCTGATCCTGTCTGTAATTCCATATGTTCCATGAAATGTTATGGAACTGAGGCCAGTTGGAGGGGCTGTGGGCAGCCTGATCTGGAGGGTGGCATCCAGCCCCCACAGCAGGGGGTTGGAACTGGGTGGTCTGTAAGATCCCTTCCAACCCAAGCCATTTTGTGATTCGAATAACAAGTATTCCACAGAAAATGGAAGTAATATTGAGTCTTGCTGATAACTGCAGCTATTTCTGCTTGCCCTTTCTCTTAACAGAGTTCCTCTGCCACTTCTCTGAACTCTTTGTTGCTCAGTTTTCTCCATACGTGTGCTGACAGTGTGTCTTGTGTTGATCATTCCACTTCTGTCTTGCTCTGAGGTGAGTTCTGCTTTGTTGTGGAGATGTGAATATAAAGGTTTCAAAGGCTTTGATGCATTTACAACAGTGTGGAGGCATAGTGTGGCAACTTTTCTTCCCATTATAGCATCCCAGGGGTTTTTATCATTTGTGGGAATAAATAGTGATAATGGGAAATGTGAAGATTTTGGCCCAAACAAGAAAAACCAAAAGACTTTTTCCCTGTTTGGATTTCAGGGAGTTAAAACACAATAGTAGAAGCTACTTTCATAGCAAATGTGTACCAGTTGGGCTGCAGGGCAGCACTTGGAAAAGCTCTTGCACAGTGTGTTCTACAGATAATGTTTTCTGAGCTACTGAAGGGAAACTTTCACTCTGACAAATTGGAAATCCTTGCAAAACATCTAGAAAAACAGTATTCCAAACGTGCTGGTGATATCTGAGTGCAAATCGTGAGATGCCACAGTAAAAAGGTGCTCTGCCCTTGAGTCATGAATTCCCTTGAAAGCTCCCTGCTTTATGATCCTGTCCGTCTTCACCAAAAGGGGTGGCAGTGCTGTGAGCCCTGAGAACTCTCTTTAGCTGTTTGCAATGGTTTTAGTTAAGTTTTATAGTGCTGAGAGTTTACAGTGCTTTAAATTCCTTTTCCCCTAGAAAAAGCAAATATCTCTCTTGTCACTGGTTTCTGTTCATCTAATAAGTGAACATATGAAATGCTAAAGCAGTTTCCAGAGCTGTTTGCATCAGAACTGTCCTACTGATATTATAAGCAATAATATTCAGCAGCTGGGCAGTGTGACAGTATTTTACAGGTGATGGTTGTCAGCAGGCAGGAGGAATCAGAGTATTTAAATAACGCACAGCAGTGGCACTGCTTTTGTACACACACATAATTGCAATCAATGATCAACCAGGTTCTCTGTTCTGCAGAATCATTCTCACAATAAACGCTGTTTTCCAGGTATCTAACTTTAGTTACGTGTGTTTACAGTTAAACTGATGAACCATAAAGTAGAAGATATGTAAGGATATATTCATTTACATGGTTCCTTATAAATATATGGAGATGGTCTGTGACCGAACCACCTCAAGTGTGTCCTGATGCAATTTTTCATTATTTAATCCCTCATCACTGCTAAGAATTTCCTTGTACATTTGGATGGTGTCTGTGAGTTCAGGTAGCTGAACTAGCCAGCTCCTTGTGTGTGATCCATGTGTCTGCTCCCCATGTGACGTGAGGTTACATCAAGTAACAGTATTATGGAAAGCGAAGCTGTGATCTGATTAACTGTTATCTGATTCTATTCCTATTAAAGTCAGTTCCCTCCTACTGATTTGTCTGGAAATCAGATATCAGGCTGCATAGAAAGTCAGTGGATGCGGTGAGAGAAGATTCAGCACTAAGGGTGATGCCCTCAGGGTGGTGATGGTGCTCTGTTCTGTTAGCAGTGATTTTTGTAAGCACAGCATTAAGAGATACTTGATAACTGAAAGCTCAGAACTGAAATGGAGTATCAGCACTTGAATCAAATGAAAGTGTGAGGAAGAGCAAGAAAGAAATCAAGGCACAAGTGTTATTATTCACATTGGTCTGAAGCAGTCTCATTGCTCAGAGAGCTTCCACCTGGTAATGAAGAACCTCTTATTCTGAGGATCAGACTGAAAAAATGGATTGCTTAACCCTGATCAAGATGACAGGAATAGACAGCTGATATCACAAAAAGCAATAGGAACCTTTTTTTTTCTTTAACTGTTTAATGTCAGAAATATGAACTACCAGAGCACTTACAGAGGGACAGTCAGGGGAGCATCCATGAGTCCTGGCCTTCTCAGGGTCACAGGAGTTCCTGCTGGCCCTCTGAACATGTGATTTAGACTAGTGTTCATTCCATGGCTGTATTTAAACCACTGAAAACACCTCTACTGTGAAACTAAGCACACTTGAGCACGGCTGTGAGATGGTAATACTGGCACGGGGGATGCTTGGGCCAAAGTCACACTTGGGAATCTGAGCTGGACCTCATTCAAACCCTAAATACTATCTGAGATGTGTGCCACAGTGAGAAGAGAGCATTCTTAACTCTTGTGTTGAATACACAAGAAGTGGAGCATATTGTACATGTCATGTGCTTGTGAATCGCTTCAGTCAGCAGTCCTGAGCTGTTATTGCTGTGCTCAGGTGTGGGAAAGACTGCAGTTGAGATGTGTTTCAACCTCAGAGAAGGTAACCCAGCCTGTAGTATCTGTGCTGCTGTAAGTTGTTACAGTCTTTGTCTTGTGAGCAGCCTGAATGATGTGATGGCGTTCTGCATGGGCACTGGGACCTCCACAGAAAGCGAAATTCCTGAATCAGATTTGCTCTCAGTTCAGCAGGTGAAATGGAGCTAATTAATCATTTCACTGCCTTGGAGTCTTACCCAGCAGAGAACAGATTCTAAATCCTCACTTTGACCAACTGCAAATACACACCAGTGCCTCTGTTTCTGCACGATGTGTCTCAGTGTTGCTGGCTGGGTTATCGCTTTCTGCTTGGTTCAGTGCCAGTTGTGCTGGGCAAGCAGATGGTGTGGATCAGCAGTGAAAGGAGCCCAGGGATTGAGCTGACTGAAGGTTGTAATTAATGGGAACCATTAATAGTAAGATACTCTCGAGAGCTGATTATTAGCCCCTACTAGGCATTTAGCTCTCTCCTGATTTTCCTTCTGTAATGCAGAAAGCAGATGTTTGAGCTGTAGCTGTTTATGTGCTCTACTTCACGTGCATTATATTTGATCTAATTAGAAGAAAAGTGCTATATTATGCCAAACCTAATTCATACCTGTCACTCATACACTTGATTTCCATGTCAATAGTTTCTTACTCTTGCAACTATCACTGCTCTTATGACTTCAGTGGGATCAGACCCCGGTAGGTTTCAATGAGATCTTGCTCAGGGGGAAGCACGAAGCAGTTGTCAACCAAGTATTTTTCTTATAGCTTGAACAAGAGAAAGCAAGTTGATTCCTAGGACAGTGGGTTGTTGGACTAAAGTGTATCATTTAAACAGCTGAATTTTAGCTGAGTTTTGTGTTGGCGATACCGCATGGGTGAGGAATAGGTTTCATTAATTTTTATGACCACTCCGGAAAATGATTTTTATTATGTTTTAATTGGAGAGAAGCTGCATTCAGTACTACATCTTCAGGCTTCCATACATTGCAGAACAGAAGAAGCTTCCAACCCTTCCAACTCTAAGGATTCTATAAGCTCTTTTCAACCACAGTCAAACAGAAACAACTGCAAATGCCTCAGGCGGGACCTCTGGCTATTGCAGAGATATGGCAAAGATATTTTGGAAATTAAAGCAGAAAGCTATTTTTTCTATTAAAAGAGAAACCCATAATCTGGATAATTAGCAGAAACAATTTACTTTGAATTCATAGCATGTCTATTTCATAATGGAGATTCTAGGTCAGTTTTAGAGACCAGAGATGATGGTAACAGAGAAAGCAATGATCTGTACTGGTGGTTTTGAGAAGAATGCAACTGCTTTTAGGAGAAACACTAAATACGTTTTTTGTCTTGATCAGCAGAGGTCTGATGCAAATCTGCAGCACAGCAAATGGGGCTTGGTTTAGTGCTCATTTAAAGTAAAGGGAAAAAAAAAAAAAGAAATTCCAACTCTAACATTTTCTCATGTTAAGTTACAGTTTGTAGTTACAGTTTGAACCAGTGCAAAAGCAAAGCAAACTGTGCTGGAGCTGAAAGGAAGGCACTACTGAAGGCTTAGGGTAACTTGAGGGGCCTTCCTCTCAGTAAAAACTACTTATAAGTTGTTGTGCAAAGTAACAATGTACTGGAGATGGGGATGGTGCAGGGCTGGAAAGTTAAAAAGACAAAAATCAGTTTATAAAAAGACTGAAGTTGAGGAGACCTCAGTATTGATGGCTTACTTGGGCAAAGCCAGGTGTGTAGGAAGGACAGCTGCATCGATGGAAATACTTTTACGGTGACCTGGAAATTGTGGATTAAAAGATAAGATGTTAACACTGTTGATATTCATTGTTCTTTAAGACTCTTGGAAATGGTTTATTGGCATCAATACCATCATAAAGTGCTTGTTAGCAGTACACCTTTGGGAAGTACACCTTACACGATTCTGTTTGTGCTGAATGAAATAGCAAAGACCACCTCTAACTTCAGTTAGATGAAAAAAATAATTCAGTTAGATACAAAATTTTAGAAGATGCTTCTGGGTTATTTTAGGCATTCTCAGGAGGGTGGTTGTTTAATTTCAGAGATCCCTTGGACACATCAGTTTGCAGATTTGAAAGGGCAATGTTCTCATACTCCTCTTGTGATGCTGAACACCTGCAGTGATAAACAAGCCCTATCAAATCCTTCTGAAAATTCTTGTTGAGAAATCCATAAAAGATGGGATTGATACATGTTGAGATCATGGCCACGAGGTGGCACAGTGTAAATGCTAGGTTATGATTACAGCTCATCAGTGCCTCGTGGTTCCAGTCAAAAACAACATTGAATATATTGAGGGGCAACCAGCAAGCTGCAAAGGTCACAACAATTGATATCAGCATCAGATTAATCCTTTTGTTTTCACTCAACCTGCTCTCATTCTCTCTCATCCTATCTATTTTACTGTGTCTCCGCCGGAGGCATACAAATATCTTGAGATAGCAGATGAGGATAAACCCCAGGGGGAAGCAGTACTGGAGAAGCAGCAGACTGGTGGTGAAGATCAGCCGTTCAGTAATGGAAGGCCAGGCCTCGATGCACGCCACTTTGTTCTTGTAGAAGTCGCTGTGGAAGGACAGGTGCTTGAAGGGTTCATCAGTTAGTTGGTGAAATATTAAAAAAGGGATGGATATCATGAGTGAAAAGACCCAAATGAAAATAATTCCCCAGTAAGCATGTGAGGTATTAGGCTTCCAGCCACGAGGATTTACAATTAACTGGTATCGCTCGATAGCAATCAGTACAAGTGACAAAATGGAGACTGTGACAGATATACTTTGTATGAAAGAGCTTATTTTACACATAGCTTCCCCAAATATCCAGTAATCCATCAAAGTGTATGCAGCTGTGACAGGAATACACATGATACAGATCAACACATCCGATAAGGAGAGGTTGGCAATCAGAATGTTTGTAACATTTTGAGCTTCTTTCTGTCTCTTTATTATAACAATCAGGCAAAGGTTTCCAAAAAGCCCCACCGTTGTAACTAATATGTAGGCTGTAATAAGCAAGAATACTGCAGGGAAGGAAGGTTGACATGTATCAAAGTTCAAAAAGTGAGAATAACTGCTGTTTGGCATAGTTTGATTAGGTAAAATCTCTGAAGGGTGCTGAATGGCTTCATCCATTGTGAAGCATTTCCCAGACTGTGGGTAACACCTAGCTAGGAAGGTTTTGCATCTGTGAATGTGTCCATCCCCTTGGTATTTAGAAGATGTTTTTCTTGGAGCTTCACAAGGCGGCAATTAAATCTTTAAAAACAAAGATGAAATCTTTGTATTTGGTGTCCTTGAAGTTTAAAACAAATCTGATGTAATTACTTACTGCACTGACGAGTTCTGAAAAGAAAAGCAAATGGCGTCATATTAGCGGCTTTGTACAGAAAGGTGGGTGGAGGCTGAGCCTCCTTTTCTAAGGCTCTGTACCGACTGTTAGCTCTGACTGTGATGTTTGAGAAATAGCAGTGACAGCTCTGTTTAACGCTGCGTGAACGTTTTCATACAAATCCTCTTCTTCTAACAGATAAATGTTGCTTTTCAAAATTAAACATTTTAAGATCTCAGCCAAAGATTTAGCAAGGTTTGAGGAATTCCAGTGAGAGCAGTCTGTTGCTTTTTTGTTATCAGAAGAATGAAGAATTGGAACCTGCCATTGCATTGCTAGTTTAGACATCATATTTTCTCTAAAACTACAAAGCAATGTGAACTAATTCACCAAATCCCTCTGGTTTAATCCAGAATGATGCACCTTGAGCTTAAGTGCTATTCAACACCTCTGTGAATGACACCTTTAAGGGAGTACCTTGATTTGCTTGCATGTTAGAGATAGCATGTCTTTTTTCCTCAACCTAATTTGAGAAAAGCGTTAACAATGCAAAGATCACATCTTAGTTACACACCTGATTGTTTCCCAGCCAGCGATTGTTTTTCATTTCCCTGCACTCTGCTCACCCTTGTACAAGGCTGTCAAATGATACCCCCAACATTTTCTGTGATTAAATATAACGTACTCCAGAGATACAGAGTGGACTCTTTTTTCAGTTCTAATGGTTGTCAGGCAAAGAACGGATACAATACAATTCTGCTGCTATGAAACTCTAATAGTAATGGGAAGAATTGGCTTCAGCAGAAAATCTCGGTGGGTCTGAATTTATCACTGAGTTAAAAAGTTAATCTGAAATCAAAGGCTCACCAGTGTTCTAGCCAGAAAAGGACTTTGTTTCCAACCTGGAGAAGTGAAAAAGGAGGATGTAGGAGTTAGTTTTGAAATTTAAAGATGGGTTGATATATGCTATGCATACAACTTTCAAAACTCAGCCATTAACTCACCTTATTTCCTTGTTGAAGTAGGAATTATTGGAAAACTTGCTGGAAGAAGGTCAGTCGTCGTCCCTAGTAATAAATGCCATAGCTTTGTGAGCCCTGTGGAGAGAATGGGATGGAGAAGCACTGGAATGTTTGAGAATGTGCAAAAAGGGGAAGGGATGAGTGGACATTTTATTATTACTAAAAGCAATTTTTAAGTTTCATCAACCTTTTTACAGAAATGATTGCTGCTATTTAATCACTAGGGAATAAGAACTGTTTGGTGCCTTGTGCAAGCCCAAGAGTAAACTGGAAAATATGATTTTATAGCTGTTTCATTTCCTACAGCTACCCAAAGAATATTGCACATAAAGTTATATCCAGAACTGCTTTGTTCTCGTACTTCTGCTTTGTGTTCTTCAAATTAAGAATTTGAAATTGTTTGTTTAAAAAAACAAACAAGCCTTTGTAGAATCTGTTATCACTGTCCTTCTGATTAAAATATACCTTAATAGTGTATTTTACTTAGTCATGCAAGAATGAGAAGTGGCTGTAGATCTATGTGCCCATATGTGGTTTGATGTTCCAACTATGCCTTAATATGTAGTAGGGCTCTAACGTTAGAGCCTTCTTGAATGGGGCCACTTGGCCCTGCTTCAGCTATAGTGGGGGAATGGCATAAGAACTCAGTCAACAAGGCTTTAAGGGCCATTGGCTGGACTTTGTAGTCTCTCACAGGTGTCTGGAGCCCAGTAGAGCAGGAAAAGAGCTGCGTACCCTAATTGGTGTGCACTGACTTGGAAAAAGTCCTCTGAGTTCAGGCAAAAGTGAAGGCATTCTGAAGCTAGCACAAATCGGTGATGTGCCTTGGTGTCAGCAGGAACATATTTCCTGGAATGCGCTGCAAACTGCTTCTCCCTAGAATTGCACAAATTGCCTGGCTGGATTTCTCATAAGCAGAATGCGTGTGCTGGAAGGACAAGGAGCCTGTTGCCCTGATGAGCTTTGCTGTCACTTCCAGATGTGTAAGAGTCCAGTGCCTGGCTGCTTTGTCCCAGTGGCGATGTTCCTCTTTGCACTGCCTGCAGTGTTCACCTGGCTAGCCTGAGAGCTGCTGTTTAAGAAAAGATGAGGTGTTAGCAGGTGCTCTGGCTTTGAAAGAGATACCCTGAAAGACAAGCTCTGTTCTTTCCTGCTATTTATGTCAGCAGGAGAAAAGCTGCAGGGCCGAGGAGGTCATGAGGCTGAGCCATACTTGTAATATTTTATGTATCTTTTGCTCCTCTCACTTGTTTATCCATGACTGCAAAAGATAGTTTGGGAGTGAGGGTTGTGTGTCCTCTGCCAGTAATTCATTGTGGCCTTGGGGCTCCCCTTGGCAACGCCTGCCGTTGAGGACAAATCCCCATGCTGGCCTTCTGGGCAGCGCACTCAGTACATCAGCTTTAAGCACGCTCATCATCCACGTTGTCATTCATTACTCAAAAAAAGAAAGATTAATTTCTTTTCACTGTTTGCTGCATATTGTGAGTTAAAAAGTGCTCACTTTAATGCATGTCATTCTGAAAGGCAATTTAAACATTTCCTTGACAATGAAACGCTTATTCCTGTCTTGTTTAAACATCTGGAGCACTCGTAGTGTTAGAAAAAGAAGTTACACCTGAACTCACTGCAGCATGTTGAACTGTATTGTAATACAGACTGGTATTTTTTTAAACTGATAAATATTAGCAGAATAAGAATCCTTGAACTGCAATTACAGCTGATGTCAGAACAGGGTTGCAGTGTTTAAGGAGAGAACTCATCTCTGCCGCTTACTTCAACCCCTAATCCGTGCATTTCAGAAAAGATTCTCTCCTGTAGACAGTGAGAGTTCACTGTGAGAAATGATAATCCACATAGCCTGATTCTTTCATTCCTCTAGATGCAGAAACATTACTGAAACGTATGAAATGAAAAAATTACAGCATAGTCTAAACTAGAAGAAGTTTTTAAAAGACTTTCTAAGTATTTTCTTACCTAAAACGCATAGTTCCATCCCCTCAAAGTGACCTTGAGTTAATGTCTTGGTTGCAAACGTCATCTGTCCTTTAAATTCCAAAGTATTGCCATCTGAATGAAACTTTCCATTTAATTTTATATATAGGATGTACAGAATACAATTGTCCTTTAGGAGACATATCCTAGTAGCTTTTCACTAGTTTATAAATTCTCTGACTTCTTACCTGATGAAAAATTCGAGTTGTATCCACTCTGTCGTTAACAAAATTTCTTTTCCCTTTTTGAGTTGATTACAAAGCCAGCAAACACATCTCCTTTGTGTATAAAAGATTCCAAAGCAGAGCCATCTGCTGCTGAAGCTGTATTTAAACTCTCTTCTCTTGCTGAAACAAACCACAGTTTCACAATTTCTGACCGTGATCAAATCCGCCAGCCTGCAGAAAGGCTGCTGAGGAATAAAGCTCTGGAATCCAAGAAGAGGCAAACAGCAGTGAGCAGGGAGGAGAAAGGACCAGCAGTCATGGGGGTGGCTTTTCCTCACTGCGTTGCTTCCCTCCGCCCAAACACCTTATCTTGCAATTTCGTTTTCAATTATTTGTTCTGCACTGCAAATGTTTTCCCTATGCTGGATTTCATACGTAAACATTTGCAGATGGTTTCTTGCTTTTTTAACTGAGAGGAGATATCGATGTCCTATTAAGTGCATCATTTGCTCTATTGCAATTAAACTCATCATGTTTTCCACTGTAAAGTGCTATTTTAAATTTTACACCAGAGTTCTAACAATCTTCATGAGAAGTAAAGCACAGCACGTTATACTGAAAAGGGGATTTATTGTTACTACACTTCTTCTTACTACTGCTATTTTTCCAGTGGAAGTCCATGATCACCCAGTCCTGGTCTCTCATACTGAACTGTCCAGTGGCTTTCCAGAATTAGGAACAACAGGCAGTAGAAATGATCAGGAGTCAGCATTTATTTGTGTGGGGACAGATTCATGAAAACAAGTTGAGGATTCTCTCTTAAGTTAGAGAACTGGAAGCTTGCAGATCGAACATTTGAGGATGCTGGAGTCTGTCATACTGCTTCTGCTTTTTGGAGAGTGTTCTGAAAGCAGCAGGATTTGGGGATAAGCAAGACTGCTGCTGTACTAAGAGTTCAGATTGGAACTCTTCATCAGAAAATATTGTTAGTTGTCATGCTGCTGTGATTGTAAGAAAAGAGAGGGGGAGCTGGAGGGGGCCTCTCAGGTCAGCCTTGATCAATCTTGTGTTCCTTGTACTTTGTTTCTATTTGTGATGTGTTTGCCTAACCTGTCTTGTGAACATCTGTGGTGATCCTAGGTTATCCCTTCCAGCACCTCAGATACTGTTAGGAAGATTCACTTAAAACCTCGCCCTGAAATTCCCTTCACTTCAGCCCATTGCTTTTTATTCCAAGAGTGGTTTCTCGATTCTGAAATTTTAGGCAGACTGCTGTGAGTGTGCAATGTGAGTATACTTTTCTAGAACATTTCTAGCTCTTGCTGATTTTGATTATGTCAAAAACATTGCAAAATAAAGCTTTTCCAAAGCGCTTTACAATTTCTGCCCCTGGTTGTGGTTTAACCCAGGAAATGAATCAAGACCTAAAAATGAAATGTGCTGGACGTGTACCAGAACAAGCCATAAAAATGTGTTGTTTAGAAATGAAATAAGCCAGTAAAATTAAAAGATGTCCTGATTCTATTTACAAATTTTAATCAAAGGTCAGAGTGCTTATCTACACAGGCATCTGTTTCTAATACTGTATGCAGTCCTACATCTGTGGAAGGGCTGAAGTGT